GCAACAACATTGAGGCGCTAAAGGTTTCCTAAAGACCGAAGATCATATCTGCCAAAGAAAACTTTCTCTGTTTGTTTTCTATTCTAATCCTGATATAGCTGGTACTTTGTTTATCATGTAATTTAACATTATTTCCACGCATCCCGGATTTAGTGCTTGATGTATGTTTGCAACGTGACAGAAGATGGTTAGATGCAGCGTCATTCCCGGCTTTCTGTTTTTAACCATATCCAGTGGTACCGTCTCAAGGCCGCAAAACAACATTTTGAAAATGCACAACCCAATATATCGACAGCTTTGTGCTTTTAGTAACATCTTTTTGCTACAAGATGTTTAATAACTCGTTACCAACACAAAGCGCCTCTCAATTTCGCTTTGCTTTCGTCTCCGCAGTGATTGTACTCCCAAGATACAGATGGGTTTTGGTCTTTTTCCCACAGCTTCGATGTTCAACGTCAGACAGTTTTTGCTATCGGTTCTACTAATTTCCATCCATTTCGTGTTATTTAAGTTAATCAAGAAGCAATTAACCAATCGTCATTAATTTTTCATCGTCTTTTTCGATGAACTCTGGCATAAGGCGAGGGCTCATTGCACCGTACCTTTATTAACATATCGTCAATGCTTCCACCAAGCAACAGTGGTTATTCTCAACATAAAACATGCAAATAATTTTTTTGCACCGCTGTTTTTAAAGTGTTTTTTATTGACAATCCGTATAAAATTTATTACAATGTCTAATGACATTCTTACAACCGCTCTGGAAAAGAACTAAAGAAAGTTTTTATGATCAATATTATGAATGGCACAATCTTTCATCAAAAAATGATCCAGCTTAAATGACAGACTGACTGCAAACAAGGCTACTAAGATGGTCGAGTCATTGTCAGCGAATGGATGACAGCCACTTTGAAAAATGGGTGTTGAACGAAAAGCCTGATCACAGGATGACCTCCTGCAAGGTGGGAAGATTTAACTAGAACTGAGACGGCATGAAAAGAGTTGAAAAGTGGTCACGCATTTATTTGATTCAGATGGAATGCTTGTTGCATCGAATCCGGCTTCTTCTTCGATGCAATGAAATAAGAAGACAAGAAGTTAATTAGCATATTTCAAGTCGATAGCTTTTAGAACATATCTGATATGCAGCTATGGAATATTTATGGCTGCTTTGAAGAGGAATTTTTCTGCTAGTCGCTTGGACTATCTTGAAGATGCATAAAAATAGGGCCTGCTTAGCGATTTATTAAACAACTAACCTTTATCTGGAGAAAATGTTCAATTCAAAGTTGCAGTTCATTTTGTAATGGCATGATTGTCGAATGCCGTTGCACCTGCATTCTTATTGTATTTTCTGACAGTGACACATACATCAGCGATAATAAACCGACTTTTACATTCTTTCCTGCTTGGTGAGGCCCTACGTCAAGCTTATCTCTCTTGACAGAATTGAATTATTCAGCCTGTCATTCACACTGCCGAGTGTTCTACGAAACAATACTGTATTTTATTTACTGCTTTATAGCAGTCTTTCCGTCTACTTCGTAATATCACCGATTACTATGTGATGATCGTATATAGGTTACACGTGACTACATCCTCTGCATGCTGCCTTTGTTGCATTCATAAGAAAAGTACTCATGATGGCGATGTGCAACGGAGATTAGCGTCGTAAATAATGCCCAGTATGGAAGTGTAAATGAAGCTATCCTAGCCGTTACAGACTTTTGCTCACTTTCGTTTCCCTTCAGGTTGATTCATACATTTAGTGCTATTTCAGAAATCGTCAAGTGAATCACGCAAGGAACATATGGGATCGAGCCGTGTCGCTTTTGCCACGAGCCAATCAGGTTTGTGATCATCGCTTTAAATGGAAACGAAATCCCAAAACCTCGTCGGGTTGTGTTTAGTTCTGGCTAAAGTATTCGTTCATGGAGGAAATGATTGAAAACATTCCGGGCGCTCGACAGGTTTTCGAACGCTGGATGGAGTGGGAGCCTAGCGAACAGGCATGGCAAACGTACATCAACTTCGAGCTACGTTACCATGAAATCGAGCGGGCTCGAGCCATCTGGCAGCGCTATATCCTTTCTCGACATTTTATGAGTAACGACTTGATAACTTAAGTCTATTTGAGTTTGGGACTCAAATTCAAGTTTATGATGCATATTTCAGTTATTAACCAGTAGTTTGATTCACCTTAATTGCTTTTATTTCTCTGCATGTTCCATTTTTTATGCAGTTTTATCTTTTTACGTTTTCGTTTACGTATCGGGTGACTGTCGTTATAGCTCTGCAAATTTGCGAAATAGCCATCTAATAATTTGGTGATTTTTCTATCAAAAAGCGCTTTAGGCGATGCTATTATTGTTTTATTCTTATTTTGCTTCTATCATTTTAGTTTTATAAATATTGCTATTTCGTAGCTTTAGTAAGAATAATCCTGAAAAACTGTAATTTGCCTTTCTACTTCTTTTTATACGTTAACATTTAAATGCCTGCAAAATTTGTGAGTATCGATAATCAGGTCGTTATTTTTCCCTTAACTCCTGTGCACTTCTTCACGTGCATCCAGATGTGAAGAATTGGATTCGGTATGCGAAGTTCGAAGAACGTCACGGGTTTGTCGTCAACGCTCGTAAGGTCTTCGAGCGTGCTGTAGAATTCTTCGGCGAAGAGCACATGGACGAAGCGTTGTTTGTTGCCTTCGCCAAATTCGAGGAAGGCCAGAAGGAGGTATGGAAATTTCAGAAGTTCGTTTTATTTAGACTTTCACTGTTTTGTAAAACTACTTGCGAACGTTTTTTGCTAACATTTTTTGCAGTTAATACATAATGTCCCTGAAAATGGATTCTACTCTTTCCGAAATCTCAGAATTTTTGTTAATAAGAATTATATGCGGAGTAAACCATTTGAAAATGTGGGGATAATGAATGTTAATTTCTCGCTAGTATAGTATTATCTGATTAATGCAAATTCTTCAATTCCAAATTTCAGTGTAGTCAGATTTTTTAAACTTACGACGAATCAGTTTTTTGTGCAAAATTATGCCTTGATAATTCGTCATTCTCATAAAAATAGCCCAATGCTCATAATGGCAATAGTGCTGAAGTACTAACAATAACATTTCTTTTTAAATGATTCCAACAGAAATTTACGAAAGTATAACGTTGGTTACTTCGTGTTTCGAACATGCCTCTTTCTGCTCTTTCGATCTTCTAGTGTCCGTTAGACAAATGTTGATTTAGGCAGTGACACTGTGGCAATAGCATTGGGATGAATAAGGAAAACGTTTGCTATTTGGTAGCCGTTGAAATGTGAGTCTTTACATTTTGATGATGGAGCCATTTTGGTGCTGATTTCCAGTTCTGCCTTATCGGCCAGAAGAGCTGTTTTAAAGACAGTGGCAGAAATATCTGTACTCGTCTATTTTCTTCCCACAGAGTACTGTTCGTTCATCTGTCTCGGAAGGAAAGGCATTGACTTTACCGGGACTCGAAGTTGCACCATCAGAATTTGAATCAGACGCTCTTCCGACTTGGCTACCCAGGTCACATTTCGACGGGTACCGTCTTCCATCTTAATAGAAGCTGGCCTTTTTTGCTGCATTGCTCTTCAGACCCATTACTGCTTTCCCACGTTTTCTAGTGGCCCTGAAAAGCTTCGGACATTTCGTTATTTTAAGTACGTTCTTTTAGGTTCATTTTAGTGTTATTCAACTAAGTTTTTTGTTAACATCGTTTAATAAAATAATTTTAAATTTACCATAAATAGTCTTCAGTACGATATCGAATAACACAAAATTAGTCGCTGTTTTAAAAAGAGCTGTTTTCCTTTCCTTGACTTATATTACATGATTTCAATGACTTATTAATTCTGTATAGTAAGTATATCGACAGTCAGTGTTATCATTTCAAGTTTTTTCTCTGATTAAGGATATAAGCTGTTGATTTTAACATCAACATTAGCTTTAGTTTCAGACAACGTGTAAAATTTATTAGAAATTAGTCATTATTTATTTGGTTCGATTTATTTTCGTGAAGATTAATTTGACCAGGTTTTACATATCGTGTTATTTATTTATTATTCACATATTATTTAAATTTCGAATTATTGATCTTCTACTGTACCAAGGTTAAAATCTGTGGCAGTATGCGCTAATAGTACTGATTACATATGTTTAAATCGTAAAATTAAAGTGCAGTTCTGTCACATTAAAGATGTATTAGCATATGATTTTGTAGTAATGAAAACTTGCAATGAAGAACATGTGCGTATTTTGTTTCACGCTAGTCTTCCACATGAACTCTTTGACTCCGTATTGTGCCTATATTGACCGCAAACCCTGAACTGCTGATTCCATGAGTCGACTTTAGAGGCAGGCAGAAAGT